ATTGAAGTCAAATTAGTACAATTAAAGTTAACTTAGTACAATTGAAGTCGAATTAGTACAATTGAAGTCGAATTAGTACAATTGAAGTCGAATTAGTACAATTGAAGTCTACTTAGTACAATAGAAGTCAAATTAGTACAATTGAAGTCAAATTTATACAATTGAAGTCAACTTAGTCCAATTGAAGTCTAATTAGTACAACTAAAGTCAACTTAGTACAATTGAAGTCTACTTAGGACAATAGAAGTCAAATTAGTACAATTGAAGTCAAATTAGTGCAATTGATGTCAACTTAGTACAATTGAAGTCGAATTAGTACAAGAAAATCGTTAAACTTAATTATCCGGTTTAGTGATAATAGTCTTGAGAAATAAACTCGTTTCTTCAACAAAAAACGAGTGTCTTGAACAAGAAACGAGTTAATGTCTCAAGAAACTAGTTTGTTGAACAAGAAACGAGTTTCTTGAACAAGAAACTCGTTTATTTCTCAAGAAACTAGTTTCTTGAACAAGAAACGGGTTTCTTGTTCAAGAAACTAGTTTCTTGAGAAATAAACTGGTTTCTTGAACAAAAAAATGAGTTTCTTGAACAAGAAACGAGTTAATGTCTCAAGAAACAAGTTTCTTGAACAAGAAACGAGTTTCTTGAACAAGAAACGAGTTTATTTCTCAAAAAACGTGTTTCTTGAACAAGAAACGAGTTTCTTGAACTAGAAACGAGTTTATTTCTCAAGAAACTAGTTTCTTGAACAAGAAACCCGTGTCTTGTTCAAGAAACTAGTTTCTTGAGAAATAAACGGGTTTCTTGAACAAAAAATGAGTTTCTTGAACAAGAAACCCGTTTTTTGAGAAATAAACGGGTTTCTTGAGAAATAAACGGGTTTCTTGAACAAAAAACAAGTTTCTTGAACAAGAAACGAGTTTATTTCTCAAGAAACTAGTTTCTTGAACAAGAAACCCGTTTCTTGTTCAAGAAACTAGTTTCTTGAGAAATAAACGGGTTTCTTGAACAAAAAATGAGTTTCTTGAACAAGAAACGAGTTAATGTCTCAAGAAGCTAGTTTCTTGAACAAGAAACGAGTTTCTTGAACAAGAAACGAGTTTATTTCTCAAAAAACGTGTTTCTTGAACAAGAAACGGGTTTCTTGAACAAGAAACGAGTTTCTTGAACAAGAAACGAGTTTATCTCTCA